TCTCTCTCTCTCTCTCTCTCTCTCTCTCTCTCTCTCTCTCTCTCTCTCCCTTTCTCGAGTGTTCGTTGTAGAATCATCGTCATTATTGGCGGGATGCTATGTATCGAGCGCAGACGACAAAAGTGGCTTGTACCCGTCGCTAGGTACAAAGAGCAACGAGGGATCGCGCGGGACACCCCACAAAATTCCAACTGCAATAAATTATATTCGAGGCACGTGCCAGTCGTAGGGGTGAACGTCGTGTGTGCTGCACCAAATGGCACTTTCATTGCACTTGGTCCACGGTCTTTGCATCTTGCCGAGTTTCGTCACTCGAATTTATAGCGCTCCTTTGTCCTCTCCCTTTCCCTTTCTCGTCTTGGCTTCTTTAGGATTTTGCGCCTGGATGGATATATATTACATTTATTTAGGAGAAAATGTAGAGGACGAATCCCCGAGGCGCAAGAGAGACGAAAGCTTTCGCGATTCAGCGTAAGCGTGTGACAAAGGATGAGAGCGCGAGTTGTGTCGAATAAGACTCGTGTCATCTACATATGACGATTGTTGGTCAAGACGGCGAAGCACTCGTCGTTAACTTACTACCGGGTGGAAATAATGCGCCAAGTTGGGGAAGCGTCGTTACTCCCAGACACCGCGCCGAGACGTTAGTTTCGTGTCTCATCGTGCGGTTGACGTTTAATTCAAAATCTTGCGTCCCCTTTCGCCCCGACCATGACTCGGGCTTATTCACGCCTTAGCCGACGCCGTTCGCACGCTCATAAATCTCGGAAAACTTGCCGGTGGCTACGAGCTAACCACCCACCAATTAGCATCCCGAATTCGAGGGTGCGGGCGAAAGTTTTCGATTTCCCTATTGTCGCAACAGCGATGCTTACACAGGCGCGTCTCCGGAGCGTCTTATCTTAATAACAGATCCTACGGTGAAGACGGCCACAATTTCCTCGGAAGAGATTTCGCAGAGTTAAGCGAGATATATTTTTCCTCAATATCAATCGCGCGAGTACTTAAAAGTGTACCCTCTTCGTGTGTGTCGGCAAACGCGTTTCGACTTCGTCGAACTGAAATGTCATAAGAGCAACCCAATTATTTTATCTTTCTACAATTTTGTCGAGCTTGAATATTTGCTCTCCAGATTTCTTTGAGCGAAATCTCACTCAAAGCGAACGAGAATTCACTCGATAGCGAAGAAATACCGTCGAAGTCACAATAGTAAACGTTTCACTAGTAAATGTTTTATTGGATTACGAAGAACGCATCAAACTTCTTCATTCACGCGAGAAAATTTTTTCAGCGATTGGAGTGAATCTATTCTCTTGTGTAACGCGATGAAACACATCAGACTCATTCTTTAATTTCACATATCCACTCGGCGATTCACAGTGGACAATTCACTGCATATGAGTGAAATGTCTTTCGAGTGATTCAATTGTTCACTTTAATTTTTGAGTAAAATTTCACACGAAAAAAACTTAAAGAATAATTCACTCAAATTTGAGAGAAGCGAGGTATTCGAGAGAGAAAGAGCGACGATTTTTCGAAAAAATGATCTTTTAAAATTTTTGCGCACAGAGAATGCCTCGCGTCGACAAAACTCGAAATAATTCGTACCTGTTAGAAATCGAGACGGCCAACAACTCGTAACGAATGTCCGGAGGACGAATGGCAAATGGTCGGCTACAAAACAGCGAGAGCTCCCCGTGGGCTCATCCTCGACAATGGCCGTCTGTAAAAACATTAATCACAAGTCGCCCGGTGTTTGTATTGTCTATTCCATGTTCCTACGCACTTTGTCATCGATAGATTGTCGGCAAACAGTCTCTAGTTTAAAGCTCTTGCATGGATTTTCAATCGACCATCCATTGAAATCAGTTGAATCGGGACGCGGAGGTAAAAAAAAAAATATCGATTAAACGAAGAGTCAACACGAGACAAGCGAATTTGGAAGCCTCCGAGCGCAAAGTATCTATTTTTCCTGAAAAAATTACACTTATTCAATGCCGTTTCTCGTATTTATACGATGTGATTAGCGCTTTCTCGCAAGCACTCGTTCGTTCGTGTTACAGTATATAAGAAGGCAAAAGCACGTACGTTTAGCGATAGGAAATGAAGACAATTTTTTACAAGAATCATCGTGATTGCTACCATGTTCAGCATGGGGACGTAATTCTGATCCTCCTTTACTTTTTTTTTAATGCAACTGATGAAATATACAGACGTTCTTTCGCTTTTTTAGGCCCGCTACGTCCAAGTGAGTCGCCGAAATGCGTCCAGAGCAGTGTGACGACTCGTAGCGGAGAACTCGCGGAACTAACGAGTGGCAGAGAGACCGGCTAGTGCCATCTAGCGGTGGCGCGCATGAACTCATTAGGCGGGAAAGGAGCGGACGAGGCACAAAAGCCGTGACTATAGAAGGAAAATCAACATTGCACATGTCCTTTTATTTATTTACATCCTTTTTCTGCACCAGAGACCGTAATTCTGCGATTCTTCCCTTTAACCTCCTGACTTTCTGTTGCAAGGTCTTCAGGACTACCTTTTGTCGCGTGATCTTTCCCATTGCCACTTCCCAATAGATTTTAGCTTGCACTGGGGAAGTGGAGATCTCCTCCCAGCTGACGTCGTACAGGAATTTTTTGCGTCTGCTTCCCGGCTCGCTTTGGCCAGGCAACGAGAGTGATAACCTACCATGGGAAATTAATCATTTCCTTATATATCTAATGTTCAATATTCATTAACACTCAATAAGAATGCGTGATTGAAGTGTGTTGTTCTGTTATTTACCTCTTAGATACTCCTGTTTCACTATGAGATACAAATTGTGTGGGTTCATATGTATTTCCTGTACTAGATTGTTCCTTTATCTTAATGGTGTATAACGACTGATCATCATTCCTAGATTCCTCATCTTGCAAATTTGCAATGTTTAGTACTTTGTTCATGGTTTGATCCTCTTCAGAGATTATTGCTTTGCTATCTTGACTGTCAAAGGATTGCTCATCCTTGACCACTCCGTTCAAATAAAGAGACGGTATAGCTCCAAACTTCAGAAAGCGATTGCCTCCAACAAGGCTGTACCTGAAGTCGTCTTTCTTGAAGTGACGTGAACATATTCGCGACGATTCGCAAACCTTTTTCTCGGCACCGATCACTAACAACCATTTTTTCAAGATGTTGTCGTCTTTCGGGAACCTTGAAGAAATTAGGGAATATGTTGTACAGAACACCAAAATACACAATACTCATTACATGGACAATAAAATACTCACCCATAAAGCGATACGTCCGAATCGTGTTTGTTCACACGGTATTTGCAACAGATGCATGTACGTACCATTGTCTGACGTCGAAACGATATATTGACATAAGACACGTATTGTTCAAACGTTAATAATAAAAGGCAATGTATTTCGTAATAATGCTTTGTACATTCAATTTTGTATATTATACCTAAAATATACCTAAATTGTTATAATAAAATTTAAAACTATCATCTTCACACACACTTTCAAAAATTATATTAATTTATATATACTCTTAACCTATACTAAATTCCCTCTTTATACACGCGTGCGTGTGCACTGGTGTTCATTAATTGGGTCCTTTTTTAGTGTAGAATAGTGTAGAGTTATGGTTCCTGCACACAGGACGCGGTAATGCTTGCGCGCAGCGAAAGTCCGCGAGACAGCCAATCAATATGTTGTTTTTCCGTAAGAGCTAGAAGGTTATTACGGAAAGTAGCATATTGATTGGCTGTCACGCGAATTTCCGCCGCGCGGCAAGCATTACCGCGTCCTGTATGCAGGAGTCATTAGGATGCAAACCTATGCAGCGGAATTGCGGAGCGCGGAACGAGAGCGGAATCAATCACGAGCGTTCCGCAGTTTTCGTTGCACGGATTTTCAATCCCTAATGGCTCCTGCACACAGGATGCGGTAATGCTTGCCGCGCGGAAGTTCGCGCGACAGCCAATCAATATGCTGCTTTCCGTAATAACCTTCTAGCTTTTACGGAAAAACAACATATTGATTGGCTGTCGCGCGGACTTTCGCCGCGCAGCAAGCATTAACGCGTCCTGTGTGCAGGATCCAATAAGACCTTTTTCGAATTTTGATATTTTTTTGCAGCTCTTTTGATAAAAACATTTATTTTGACTCCAACATTGATAATCAATCGGGGGAGTACGAAAAATATGCAAGTTATATATTGTTTTAACTTTTTTTTAATTTTTATTTCACTTGTCAAACGTTGCTGCTTTCCCACAATTTAAACAAGTTACTGATCTTTTAATCATATTGGCTGCATTCAGTAGACTCAACAGTTGCACAACAGTTGAGTAATTTGTCAATGTAATTGGTTTAGATTTAGGGATCTAACAGTAAGAACCAATAATCGTTGATTGCTCACTGAGCGCTTTTTCTACTGAATGCGCCCATTGGGCGCGTTCAGCGGAAAAAGCGCTTAGTGAGCAATCAGCGATTATTGGTTCTTACTGTTAGATCCTTAAATCTAAACCAATTACATTGACGAATTACTCAACTGTTGTGCAACTATTGAGTTCGCTGAATGCACTCATTATGTAACTGCAATATCGAACGACTAGCGGGGGGCTGCACTCCCGCACCCCCTCAAAACTAACCTAACCCAACCTATCATCACATTAGCCGTTAGTAATTGTTTATTAAAAAATTATTAAGAAAAAAAGTTGAACACTTTAATAAACAATGACTGACCATTGTTAATGTGATCATTGGGTTAGGTTAGTTTTGAAGGGGGTGCGGGGGGCGCAGCCCCCCGCTAGTCGTTCGATATTGCAGTTACATAATGTAATTAAAAGATCAGTAACTTGTTTAAATTGTGGGAAAGCAGCAACGTTTGACAAGTGAAAAAAATAAAAAAAAGTTAAAACAATATATAACTTGCATATTTTTCGGACTTCCCCGATTGATTATCAATATTGGAGTCAAAATAAATATTTTTACCAAAAGAGCTGAAAAAAAATAAAAAAATTCGAAAAAAGCCTTATGGCTTCTGTACACAGAACGCGGCAAGCGTTGCCGCGTCCTGTGGGCAGGAGCTATTATTGTACACTCGTGGTCTAAAAGGTTTGTGCATCGATTTTTTGTAGATTTCGGAACGCGTCCCAGCTTCAGGAGAGAGACAACCATTGCTTGACACGCCAGCGCCGCCACTTATTACGAGAGTAGAAGGATATCGTATATACCATTCTTCTGCTCTCGTAATAAGTGGCGGCGCTGGCGTGTCAAGCAATGGTTGTCTCTCTCCTGAAGTTGGGACGCGTTCTGAAATCTACAAAAAATCGATGCACAAACTTTTTAAACCACGAGTGTACATAATTACCCGAAAAAGAACCAGGAATATTGAAATACTAGAATACCGATCGTGCCTGACGGTATTTCCACAGCAGTGCTTGAGATCGATATTTCGACCAAATACATGATTTTTTAATATTTAATTAAAATTATCTGGATGACTTACAAACCTTTTTAATGATACTTCATAACTCTTCATACGAAATACAAACGATACCATACCGAACCTTTGTTTAATTTACCTCCGGTCATTATTTCCGGCTAAATGGTCCAAAAAATAACAATTAATTACAAGTAGTAGAATGACTCACAAATCTTTTCAATTGCACTTCAAAACTCTTCGTACGAAATATAAACGATTTAAAAGAATAGTTTTTCCAACCGGAGTTTTTTTCCGGTCAAGTACATACGAATGGATATCGGACGCGGTGTGAATTCTACATTATGATACGACCAATGTAGATCGGCTTTTACGTCACTAAGCATGACGTCATCATGCGCAATAATACACCTTTGTATTTACATCATGGCAACGATGGGTGCTTTCCAATTGCTTAACAGATCTTGACACACACGTATACAAAACCAGTTTATTGGTCACATATTATCTAAAATATCTAATATACAACCAATAAACTGGTTTTGTGTAACACAGTGTATGCAACTGGATAAGCACCCACTGACATTACTTCATATCCGATCTATTTGGCTATGTTCAGAAATCCTACTCGATAGGTAGAGTTACTTTAATAAACCAATCATAATAAATAAATCTTAGTTCCTTTTGCTCTGATTGGCTTAAATGGATTGGATTAAATGTTACTCTACTCACGGAGTAGAGTTTCTGAACGCCGTCTTTAAAGTACAGTTTTGGGCTGCGTTCGGAAACGTCACTCGAGTACTCTCCTTTTCTTTTTATCTGACTCTTGTATTTCGCTTATTCCAACGGCTATCGTCCAGGCTGCGTTTCGAAATGCACTGCCAGTACTGAAAATCTATAGTTCATGTTACGTATATTATAGAATTTCAGTATTGGCAGTGAATTTTTGGAACGCAGTTCTAGTAGTAGTTAGGCGACAGTTTCCCGAAAAGTGGAGGGGATAATGTTGGTATCAAGGAAAATCTCTACATGATATAATTTAAAGATTTGTTCTTTGTAACTGCACTGCTGAACTGGTACAATAAATTGAAGTGAGATAAGTATACGTTTTCTCATTCTAACCTTTTGCATTAGTTCAGCAGTGTGTAGTTACAAAGAACAGATCTTTAATAGCGTTTTTCATTAGTAGAATTGGTGTGCACTGAGTGCGCACTAAGTTGTTTACAGTATGTTATTATATTAAAAGATTGTCTTAAATAAATTCTCAAATATTTTTAACCAGTAATATAATATGTATAACATCCATACGAATCATTTTATTACCTAAAATATTTTTAAATATGTATTTAAGACACGATCTTAGGGTGCGTTCAGATTCCTCATCCGGGTGCACTCTATTACTAGAAACACTATAGTGTATGTGACATATATTATAGCACTTCTAGTAATAGAATACACCCGGGTGGGGAATCTGAACGCAGCCTTAAATATGAAAATGTATTGTAAACAAGCCTTTGTGCGCACTCAGTGCGTACTAGTTCTGCCAATGAAAAACGCTATAACTTATATTGTGTAGAGATTTTCCTTGGTACCAACATTATCCCCTCCATTTTTCGGGAAACTGTCGCCTAACCCTAGTAGTGTGCACACACATAGGTTGCGTTCCGTTTCCACGCATTATGCGAGCATTTCCTATAATAGGCCTGTTCTTTGTAGCTGCACTGCTGAACTAGTGCAATAAGTTAGAGTGAGAAAACATATATTTGTCTCACTTCAATATATTGCACCAGTTCAGTAGTGCAGCTACAAAGAACAGACCTAATATGCGTAACATGAACTATAAATAAACGCGCGCATATGCGTGAAACGGAACGCAGCCATAATGTGTTCGACTGGCTCTAGGTTAATCGCTCCGAGAGCGATTAATGACGTCAAAGTCTCTACTAGCCAATCATAAAGCTTATAAGTACTTGTTCAACCAATAAACGTAGGCTGAATAACCCAGAGTGGGTTAACCCAGAGCCAATCGAACATGCTAACAGTGTGTATTTCCGAATGCAGCATTGCAGTATTGTCTACTCTATCTACAGTCAGTGCTGCGAGTTCACGAGATTTTCTCCGCGACAGGAGGCCTTCTGCGGATGCGTACAGTGACGTGGCAGTCTACTATTGGATATCGTATCATTTGCGCATGCGCAGCAGACTTCTTGCCGCGGATAAAATCTCGCGAACTCGCAGCACTGCCTGCAGTTCCGATTCAACTGCCAGCACGATAAGACGTATCTGAACAAGTTTAGACCAGTTATTTTTGAAAGTCTCTTTGGAACTTGCCGAAGTCTTATTCATTCATACCTAACATTGTAAATGGTGAAAGGTCATAAAGAATAAGGATTGTATACCAATTCGGAAGGAAGGAAGGAAGGAAGGAAAGAAGGAAGGAAGGAAGGAAGGAAGGAAGGAAGGTCTACTCTGCCTATTTCGTCCAGTTCTTTGTAAACATTGGAGAGGAGAGTTGCTGGTAAGTAAAAAGCGTGCAACATTCTGGATATATACTAGAAAATTTTAACAAAATTTATTAGTATAGTTGCATTTTCTAAAACATCCTTTTTAAGGAAATTTTTACTTGATATTCAATATTTTACTCGATATTTTATGTAACGTGAACTATAGATATTAAGTAAAATTTTCTTCAAAAAGGAAATTTTAGAATGCATTCTTAACTCATCTATGTATATATGTACATATAATTGTATATTACATAAAAAAACATGAATTTTAGATATCCCAATAACATATTTTCCTTTTTTTAGAATTTGTGGCTTTAACAAATTTGGCGAAGAACTCAAGGAATTTTTATATTTACTTGAGTAGTAATTGATTATTCATATAAAATATGGCTCATTATAAAGGAGCAGCCAGTGAAGCTGGCCGAGCCATGCAGCTTATGAAGAAAAGGGAAATTGCGCAGCAGGAGATAGAGCTGCGTAAGAAGAAAATTGAAGATGACTTGAAGATTCATAATATTGAGAATAAGTTTGCGACTCATTATAATGCTGTTGAACAGCAGTTGAAAACTTCCACAATTGGTCTAGTTACATTGAATGAAATGAAGGCCAAGCAGGAAAATATAGTAAAAGAACGTGAAAGGAAACTTGCTCAGAAGGAACGAGAAAAAGAGCAGGAAAAGGAAAGAGCACTAGCTGCTAAACAAGCAGAGAAGAACAAACAAAAACGACAGATCCAAGCCTTGTCTTTTAATTTGGACGATGATGAGGAGGTTGAGATTTCTGATGATGAAGTCATAGAAACCTCTGTGAAACCCAAAAACAAGCGTAAACATGTGGCCAAAAAGATCAAGAAGAATCCAGATGTGGATACGAGTTTCCTACCAGACAGAGAAAGGGAGGAGGAAGAAAATAGACTTAGAGAAGAATTGAGACAAGAATGGGCACGGAAGCAGAATGCGTTAAAGGAGGAGGAAATTGAAATCACATTCAGCTACTGGGATGGATCTGGCCATCGTCGAAGTGTTATAATGAAGAAGGGTAAGTATATTTTAATAGAATATATATTCTGCGCGCGCACGTGTATGCAATTATTAAAGTCTTGTATCAATAGACTGGAAATATAATGTTTAAAAATATGATTTACTATTGAAGCATGAATACAATGAGTAATCGCATAAATTTATGGTATAATTATATTTTTGCTTTTCTGTGTTGTAGGTAATTCTATTTATCAACTTCTTCAGAGATGTTTGGAAGTGCTGAGACGCGAATTTAGCGAACTTAAAACAGTGATGGCAGATCAATTGATGTATGTTAAAGAAGATCTTATACTGCCGCATCATTATACATTTTACGATTTTATCGTAACTAAGGTAATGAAAGCTCCAATACACATTTACTGGAAAACGTTTGTATAGCGTTTATATTTTATTTATAATAAATATAATTTAATTTTCAGGCACGAGGAAAGAGTGGACCTCTATTCACATTCGACGTTCACGATGATATTCGAGTTATGCATGACGCTTCCGTTGAAACAGAAGAATCACATGCTGGAAAAGTTTTACTTAGGTATTTGTCATTTAACAAATGTTTTAAAAAAAGTTTGTTATTTAAAGAGACTTATATTATTTGCCTTAATTACCTTTTATATGTATATCTCATATCAATTTCTTTTATACTTTTAGATCTTGGTACGAGAGAAACAAACACATCTTCCCAGCGAGTAGATGGGAACCTTTCGATCCAACGAAGAGTTACGACAAGTATACAGTATCTGATAAAAATAGGAAGAAAGACAAAATCTGATAGACCTGAACGCGTATTGTCCGGTTCAAAATGGGAATAATAGGAACAAGAAATATTATTTTGTATTGAGACTGAAACTACTGTAATATATCAATTTTATGACAATGTTCATACTTTGATTTTAAAGTATAAATGATATTGTAATATACTTGTATATATTTATTTGTTTTAGCGCAAATATATCTATTAATTATTATTATGTAATTAATGTAATTAAATATATCTATTAATTATTATTATGTAACTAATGTAATTATTATTACGTAATTAAATATATCAATTATTATGTAATTGTAAATATATATATATTTATTGTAATTATATATCTATCTATTTATTGTTATAATTATATATTTATCTATTCTGTGATTTTAACTGATTCCTTTACCTATCTTAAGTACATGGTAGGTCATTTGTAAGGTGTTGAAAAAGAATTTAACCTTTTCAGAACAGGGGATTGCTCGGGGAGATAATTATAGGGAAGTACGTATTCTATGGGTTTTTGGGGTCATTGAATCCGAATCTGAACTTAGATTTTTTAAATTTTAGTAATCCAAGATGGCGGACCCAATATGGCAAAATTTATACATAACTGAGTAAATGTGAATAAAATGTAAATCTTTCTTGTTGTATATATTTGGACGTATAAGTAATGTAAATATAATGTAAATATTTTTTGTAATGTAATGTAAATATAATGTAAATATTTTTTTGGTCAGTAATAGGGTGTATATAGTATGTAAATATATTATAAATATCGTTTGTTCCAATCTGCCGCTAACTAAAGTTTTTGTGGTACTGATGAACTCCAAAAAGATTCCAAGAAGAGCGAAACTGGAAATCAGTCAAGATTTTCACTAATTCAAATTTAGAGAGTATGAAGTTCCACAGAAATTGAGTTATATTTACATAATTTGGCATCTTGAAAATCGCCATATTTGATCCACTATCTTAAATTTTACATTTTTTTACTTTAAATTTGGAAAGAGTATCCTAAAAAACTCCTACATACTAATTTTTATGAATATTGGATTGATAGTTTCTATAATACATGCATGAAGGCTGTAGAGCATCAAAAGATGTCTCCCGTCCTGAAAGGGTTAAAAAAGTTAAATGAAAAGACTTAGATATTTTAATGACTTTGAATCTGACAATCTTAAAATAATAAAAATATACAAAAATATTTTCGTTATTTCAATTTATCAAACATGAAAAGAGATTATTTACCTTGCTAGGATAGATATTGTCAAGAAATGTATTAGTATGCTAGATGTGTCTAAGTTTTGGAAATATAATCTATATAAAATGAATAAATACTGATAACACATAGTCATGTATTCGTAGGCTTAATGCAAACGGGATTCATATAGGTAATATTTTCAGGAAAATGATCCATTATGATAAATCTCTTCTCGGTTGATTTGTTCAAGCTCTCGAGAAATCCAAACCAATAAATAACCAGTCCAGACCCAAATCTGTTCCAATAGCTCAAAAACTGTTCTTTCATGTACTTCTGGTGAACTTCCACGTTACCAAATCGTGCTTTAGATTCAATCCAGTTGATTAAAAAACCGTTTACCGCAATTGGCACTTCTAACTTGATATCGGGAGTTTTATCGTATCCTCGCATTCGTAAGTGTTCCTCGTTACGAAACGCAATATTTCTTTGTATTAGACTATTTTCGAGCTTGATTTCGTATTCTTGTCCTATGCAACTGAAAAAGAGAATGATTCTGTGTGATGCTATATCATGAGAAGCACAATGTGTGTTAAATTTAAGTGAACTTTCAATGCGCTGTAATTAATAATTATTCCATGACTTTCCTAGTTTGTGTTGTTCTGTTTTTGATAGAATTTAAAATTCTACTATGTTCTAACTACCATATGTTAGCATATATTAAATAAAGTTTGTCATATAATTATTAGCAATGAAAAATACTTACATTCCCATTGCATCAGCTATATGTCCATACAGATTATCGTATAATAAACACTGTAACACATAAAAATTATGATGTTCTTCAAATTTTTATTTCAATATTTTATTGTGCTTAATGTCAAAAAGTAAGAAAATCAAACAACTATAAAACTAGATTCACATCTGTCAAAAAATCTGTAATTAAAATAAAGTGTGCAATTTATATAAGGGACCACATGTATATAATTTCAAATCACAATTACCAAATAAACCTCATATGCAAGATCCTTGTCACTAATTAGTGTAGTATCCTTGAACAACTTGGTAATTAAATTTTTGGAAGCTGAAATTATAACATTTTCAAATTATTTTCTTATAAAACCTGTTAAAAATATTATTGTGCTTCATATTGTTCAAAGTTGGTTATACCATTTGCATTGTCAGATGTGCAGTATTTTTCCAAGACATTACGTGCTAATAAGGCAGGTGAGGCATCGATATCTTTGGCCATTCTCAACAAAATCCCTGTTGGCTCTCCGTTATTTACTGCTTCTAAATAACTATAAGGATATTATTATTATTGCATATACTTTATGTTTCTACTTGAACATGTGTTTATGATTTAGTTTAAGCTAACTTACCTGTTATAATAACTTTTATTGTTTCCAAATAGTTTGATATGGTTAACTTTCATTTTTTGTTGTATTTCCAAAGATAAGATGCTGTACAGTGTATTTACAGGAATACTATAAGAAAGGAAAAAAGATTCAATTTTGAATAATTTTTATATTTGCTAATGATATATAGGAAATCGAGCAAATTGTTTGATTTTGTCTAGTGTTTATATATTTTAATTACATTATAGTAAGAGAACAATTCTTACTTCTTATACTTTTCCCTTAATATTTTGGCACAATCTTTTGATAGACCTCGAAAATTACGAATTGTCGTTATTATTTCATTATATATTTCGGTCTTCATCATTTACAATATAATTATCATAACCCGCTGAAATGTCAAATCGATACAATACGAGGTGCGCTCGAGAAGCGCACCAAAGGTCTGTTCTTTTTAGCTGAACAAATATATTTTAGGTAAATATGCAGTATAACGCCTCCATCATGGATTTTTTTTTGAACTTTGTAAATTTGTATATTTTTATGCGTAGAATTGATTTCTGAAAACAAAAATTGTCACTCATTTTTCGTTTTCTTGTTTTTTTATTTTTATATTTTATGATGTCGGTAAGTAGGAAAAGCAAAGAATAGTTCATACATGCTTTTTTCTGCTTTAATCAAAAGCATAAACTGTTATAAAACAGAGAATTGTTCATACATGCTTTTCTCTGCATTAATAAAAAGCATAAACTCTTATAAAACAGAAAATAGTTCATGTATGACGAGAACGTCGTAATCGTGTGTTAGATCTAAATTTTAATCCGTATAAAATGGTAATTATTAAGTTTTATAAGATAGTGTATATGATTAAAGCAGAGAAAAGCATACATGAACTATTCTCTGCTTTATAACAGAATTTATGCTTTGGTTAAAGCAGAGAAAAGCATGTATGAACTATTCTCTGCTTTATACCCAGTGAGAAATGACTTATCGATCGACGTCTTTTCGACGTCGATCAATAAGTCATTTCTCACTGGGTAACAGAGTTTATGCTTTTGATTAAAGCAGAAAAGCATGTATGAACTATTCTCTGCCTTTCCTACTTACCGACATCATAAAACATAAAAATTAAAAAAAACAAAAAAACGAAAAGTGAGCGATAATTTTCGTTTTCAGAAATCAATTCTATGCGTAAAAATATATAAATTTACAAAGTTTGAAAAAATCCAAGGGAGCGTTATACTGCATATTTACCATATTTTATTTTACTCTAACTTATTGCACCGGTTGCGTCAGTTTAAACAGTTCGGCTAAAAAGAATATATCTCAATGGTCTGTTCTTTTCAGCTGCATTGCTGAACTGGTGCAATAAGTTAAAGTAAGACAAATATATGTTTTCTCACTCTAACTTTTGCACAGTTTAGCGTGCGCTGAAAAAAAACAGACCACAAGTCAGCATCGATCGTCAGATAATAGGCCTGGGCTTTGATTCTCGAAAATATGTCACATACGAAATATATCACATACGAAAATATATCATATACGAATTTAGTGAAAAGCTATAGTTCATGTTACGTATACTATAGCTCTCCACTAAGGGTGCGTTCGGGGAGCACGCTATCAACGCTATCTCGTTCTTTTATCTTTATCGCTTCTTAAATATATAACAAAGATAGAATGACGCTGTAGCGCTGATAGCGCTAATAGCGAGCTCCCCGAACGCACCCTAATGGCTTGCCGCGCGGCGGAAGTTCGTGCGACAGCCAATCAATATGCTGCTTTCCATAATAACCTTCTAGCTCTTACGGAAAAACAACATATTGATTGGCTGTCGCGCGAACTTCCGCCGAGCGGCAAACATTACCGCGTCCTGTGTGCAGGAGCCACAAATGTCGTATGCGATATATTTTCGAGAATCAGGGCCCTGTTCTTTGTAGCTGACTGCTGAACTGGGGGTCGATTGTGTATCTCGAAACGGAGTGAAAATTACAAAAGTGAGCAAATTCATTAGACATTGTCTAATAAAGTTACAAATATGCTAGTAAATTTGTTCACTTTTGTCATTTTCACTCCGATTTGAGATACACAATCGACCCCCTGGTGTAATATATTGAAGTGAGACAAATACGTTTTCTCACTCTAACTTACTGCACTAGTTCAGTAGTGCAGTAACAAAGACAGGCCTAGTAATATCGATGCGATATTTCGAGAAAAGCGCATAAAACAAACTTTTGACTACGTTCAAATTCGGCAATCGTGTTGTATTTATTATCTTAAGCACACACACAAATACATTTTCTTATAAGAAATATTTTTCTAAAAACAAAAAAATGTCATATTTTATAATTTTTTAAAGTAGATATTTGACATGTGCAAGAGTTCTCCTCTACAATTTTCATTTTCTCTTAATAAAGTTATTTTTCTGAAAAATTTTGCTATTATATATATAGATTATTAATTATTTTGTGTATAAATGTTGTTCTGTACTAGATGAACATAGAAAAAAATACAAATATTACGAATAAATAAAGAATATTGTTAATACAAAATATAATAAAAAATAAGATGAAAACCATTTGAAGTTAATAAGAGAAAAATTGTTATTTTTATTTATATTGAGAAATGTTGCGTATTCCACAATCATTTCAAGAATAGGGACCCTGTTCTAGGGATCTTCCATTGCGATTATTCGCAATTTGCCACTTGTGTATTTGCAATCATAATCATATCAAGAGTATTGGCTTTGATGCCAGGCGGTATGCGATCCATTTAGTCGCGTTTTAGAAACTTCGTTTCCGCTCGAGCGAATCAATCGGCGTTGTTTTTCTCGTCGTTAGTCAAAGTTTGAGATAACTACAATCGCTAGGACCGTGTAAGAAAAGCGTTGACGCAACCAATATTATATACTGTCACACAACGTTACGAGGAACTATCAAGGCGAGAAGATGCCAGCGATACTGGTTGGACCACCTCAACGTAACGAGCAAATGTGGCAGGCGTTAAAGGCTCATATTACACGAGAACGACAACGAAAGAAGCAAGGTATACCACTCGAGATTGCTCGAATTCGTCACGGTTTCATTCTATTTTTTTTTGCCCCTTCTCTCTCCTTCCTTCCTCCCTTCCCCTCTTCTATCTTCCCCTCTCCCGTGCCTTCTTCTGTATCTTTCATTTTCTTTTGTATGCTCACCAACTATTACATGCTTACTTGGCTACTTCTTTCAAAATCTTGAATATCAAGTTTATCAAAGTATATTAATTAACACTACTTATTATTGCATTCTAGAACAAGAGGCAGACGCGGAGGAAGAGCGTTTACGCAAGGAGAGAGAGCGTCAACAGAAACAAGATGTGATGACCTTAGGTGAAACTCGAGAACAAATCTCAAATTTGGAAAATGAGCTGATTGAATTGAAGGATGAGAAGCACCAATTGTTCCTACAGTTGAAAAAAGTCCTGAATGAGGACGAGTATAGGAGGCGACAGCTTGTAAAAGAGACCAGGTTTGTATTTTGAGAGGACGTAGCGCCAAAAGTCATAAAGTGACAAGATTAATACATCTGTCCATTTCTAGTGTCTGTTCGGAAGTTTTGACGACAGTAGGTGGATACCAGACGACAGGTCCAAGAGTGGTGCATCCCCAGATATTTTTGCCGTTACCACGTAGCAACAGTCCCCTCTACAAAGTTGCAGTCAGCGCACCGACACACCTCCTACCAAGTGTAAGCGCGACATTTCATCGTGAGAGAAAGGAATAAGAGCCTATTAAGAACCAACACAGATGTAATAGTGTGATATAAACTAACTATACCATAAAACTTAATATTTGTCCTTAATGATGTATAGAGATAAAAAAATTATTCAGTTAAAATACAAAACCAAACGCGTTTCGGTCCCTCAATGGGCCTTATTTAGTGGTAACAATAATTTTTTTTTAGGAAAAAAATCACATAAGATATAATATTTCAAAGAAAACTGGTTCCATAAAGAAATTTGTCAAATGATCAAAAAAGGTTTTCTTTGAAATATTGTAACTTATGAGGTTTTTTTCCTAAAAGAAAATTATTGTTACCATTGAAGAGGGTCTATTGAAGGACCGAAATGCGTTTGGTTTTGTATTTTAATTGAATAAATAATTTTTTCATCTCTATAAATCATTGAGGATAGATACTAACAGTTTTATGGTATAGTTAGTTTATATCACACTATTACAACAGTGTGTTGATTCTTAATAGGCCCTTATTCCTTCTTCTCTTGATTTTATCAAAAAGAACCATATAACGCATTTTATCGTGTCATTTGAACATATGTTCCAATCGATGGCTCTTGTATCTGCGTTGCAAAATATGTTTCAAGTTCCTGTGTCATTTTAAGGGATCTTTGAAGAGACCGCACAGCCCGTCACCGCCACCTTCTGCCTCTCCGTATCATAGCGCATACGGCTACAAACCACCACCGTCAATTCCGAATTATAATCCTCCACCTCCTAGTGAGTATATATAACCTGAAAAATATACAAATAGATTAGACATTCTAAAAAATATATAAATAGATTAGATTTTTACTTATATCAGTGGCTGCAAACTGGTTTTATGAAGAGATTCATCACTATTTAGATTTTCGATCAATTTTTATTAACACTCTTTTAATGTTTGAAATACCACGTTAGGGGAAAAATGACCAAACTTATTTTCATGTCTTTATGAACGTATAAAACTTATCAGAGATTAACGTATTCAACTTATCAGAGTAAAAGATGAAAATAGAACAATAACGCCACCAAACTGTTTACAGCAATTATTTCTCTTACATCATAACAATTCTTTCTTATATTAGACTCATGATGCAAACATAATAATGTATTAATATGTCATTTAATTTATTTGAGAGAGAGAGAGAGAGAGAGCACGTATTATTTAAAGATAATTAAATATTTATACATTAGGATTCAGCCTGTTTTCAGATTCCACAATCGATATTTGGTAGTTTCTTATATCTTTTTTTTTTAAGGCAAAAATTTAATAATAAAGTATTAAAGTGCCGGAGTCGATTCAGGTACGATAGTCTGCGGTTGTCGAGACCGTCAGCAGGGTTTAATAATGTCCATTACCATTTTGGTATAATGTGCTCAAGTTGTCAAACTTGTGTCCAGCTTGTATCAAGTGATATTTTATCATGACTGCTTCCATACAGAATCCGAAGATGCTGCTAGGAGATCTGGTGACTCTCGAGCTGTCCTCTGGAATAGTGAGTGAAGAAACTTTATCTGTCGCTTTGGGGTCCTTTGTTTTCTTTCGTATAGAAATTAAATTCGAAGTCGCTTGCCGTATTCTTTCCATGTTAGCGTACATGTATAAAACAACACTCATTTTATGTACTTTTCTTCATTCGACAGAAAGTAATCAATACTCCGCATCGAATTTTTATTCGACGCCCACAGGCCAAAGTGTTTATAGCTATTCCGCGCCTGCAACCCAACCGTCTCGAGAATCTTCGGAGCCGGCTAAACCCGTTTATCTTTCGGGAGCTAGAGCGCCATTGGCCACGCATCAAACTGGTAATTACATCTATTTCATTACAACATCAACATTGCTGCTACGACTGTTCTGATGGACTTTGGATATATCGTACAGCAGTTCAAAATAATAATTGGAATAATCTTCATAAAAGAGAGAGAAACGAGTGTCTCTTATTTTAAACTGTCCTACGACATGTTCCAAACTCATCAAAGACAGGGAGAGATGTTTCTACATGCTTCCTTGTTAAATTTGTTATTTTACGTTTGTGAAACTGAGAATAAACTCATCTTTTTGTGCAACTATTATAAGGAACCATGAAATTACATCAACTTTCTTGTGTTTTGCAGCATATGTAACTAATCTACACTCGATGGAACACAAAGGCGCTTATGGCGAGGACAAATTTTACCTACGTCCGACAAATCACGTCACTGTTCACGGTGGTGCTATTCCGATCCAACAACCACCTCAGGTCATTTTTCAATTCTATTATTCATACTCTTTGCAGGTTCTTTTACAGGATGTGCGAAGAAGTAAAACTAAAAATTAAAGTGGTTAGGAATATGCTGCATTCAATGAAATAAGCATAAAAAAAGATTTATCAAACAATATAATTCGATTATTCAATTTATTCGCGCAACCTGCACAATATATTTATTATATTAGTCCAATTTATTATTTACGAATGTATCGGTGTACATTTGCAAATTCCCTAACGTTGATTTTTGTGAAAAATCCTGCAGGGTGCAAAAACTGGAGGCATTACCTCTGGTTATCCTGTTCGAGCACCTCAACCACCGCCTGGTCCTTATCCGCCACCACCACCACCGCCTCCTGGGACTTATGTCAGCGGCTCAGGTGCCAATGTACCTGGCAGACTTCTATACACACAACCAGGAACTCGATATCTTCAAAGGGAAGTATAAAACCACGTTCTTCTTTAATTTCAATAATTTGTTTTAATCCTTGAAAATTCTTTGTGCAATATAACACGTTCACCGTCGCAGTTCATTTAGAAAGGTTTTCTATTTCGAAATAATGATTTGATTTATTTATATATGGCGGTAGAAAAAAGAAAGAATTACCATCTTTTTGTGCACATACGTGACTCTAGTATTTCACGAGAAATGTGCATCACATATGTGTGACGTTGGTGATGAACGTGAAAATTCTATCGTATATTTTGGTTAAGTGCATAGATTAAATTTTTAACGTATTTATTTATGTATGGATATTTATTTCTATGTAAAAAAATATGTATTCAATTATAAAAAAGTATACAAAAATAATTGTTTCCTAGTATACATAATAATACTTTTTTTCATTGTACTCGTAAAAATTCTTTAATATCGTAAACATTTATTGCTAAAATAATAATTAATTGATAAACTAAACTATACACTTATTACCTATCTATATGATCTAGTTTGCAATTTCGCATATACTCGTACACGATATTGTTATACTATATAGATTAAACTAATACAATATTTTAGTTTCACAACTGAGCTAAAGTAAATACTTTTTACTTTTTGTGTACTATTATGTAATAGGATAATAAAACAAATATCAATAATAAAAAAAATAAAAGTAATAAACGTAATATATTTTCTCTCTAATGAATTTGTCGATACAGAAAAGATTACAATTAATAGATAGAGGAAAAAGTCCAATAGTCGGCACTCTTGCGCGGACGCGTGTCGGATATTAAGATGGGGATTTAAAAGAAAACGAATAATAATTGAAAAATAATTAATAGATCCCCGTATATCTTCTGCCATCTCTTGATATCAGATTAGATCCGAAAGTAAAAATAAAAAATGCCGAAAATTGGTGAGTGTTGTAACGAGTGCTGGCTATTGCGCGTTTTCTACCATATATGTAAAAATATCAATGCCCAGACACTTATCTTAATTTTGGACATCCTTATTGTTCTTTAAATACAAATATTTAAACATATTTTGAATAATATATACATTCTATGTTAAAAATTTGAATATATATTTGTATTTAAAGACAATGATGTTCAGGACTAGATATATGTTAAAAAATTGATACTTGTTACTCTTCTTACTTTACTAACTCTTACTAACCTCTTAGAAAATATATTATCCTAAAGAATACTTTCTTTCTTTTTCAAGAGCAGATGTAAGACTTGAAATTGTAGAAAAAAATAAAAGTTCATAGTAAAGCTATAAAAAAAATAATGAGATTCCACAATTATTTCCATTGGATATAAGTGGTATAAGTAGTATTCCTGATTAGTAGATACCTCTACTAATCAGTAATATAGTTTCATGTTTCTCAAAAGGTTCTGTAGACTTGTTCCAAATTGGGCAGTCGTGTCTATCATTCGTTGTTTCGCAGCATGTTGTTCCGAGCATAGATGAGTACGAAGGCTAATGATGCTAGTTATCTTTGTTTGACATAGTTGACAGATCACTGGCTTAACACTCACTTCACGTGGGTCTCTAAGGACAGAGTATAAAGTGTTAATCGTGTATTTATAACGTTACTAATAATGGATAACAATTAATATTACTACACGAGTTATTACATAGACCATAAATGCCTAAGACACCTTAAATAGAGATGACTACAAGACACTTTACTTATTTTAGCTTAGGTCTCTTAGGTATAAGACGTTTTTTTAGACATTTGTACTATTTATCTAATAATCGATTAGACTATACGATACTTCAAAAAGCAATTTGATCGGCAGCGATTTTCCATTTAATACTTTACAGTAGAAGTATTTCAGTGAATAACACGATTTTAATATTTATATCTATGGCTTATGTATTTATCTTTCGTCAAATCGCCACTCTAGAACCAATAATAATAATGTCTTTACGTACTCGTGAGCCAAGGCATCCATTTCTAACAGATTCCTAATTATGCTTTCGAGTTCAGGATCTTGTTTGTTCAAGTCCAACGCTTTGTGCAAGCTGAATACACAATTCTTTCTGTTGGTTCCCCGAGCAGGCTCGAGAAACATAGTCTCGTCATAGATATTCCAATTGTGGAAATTAATTGTGAAGATTGGCACTTGAGACTGTCGAGGCTTATATATCACCTCGACGAATGCGTTTTTTATCTGATTCTGGCAGTTTATGGTCAGCTCGTTTCGCTGCTCCTCGCTGACACCATCGGCAAAGTGCATCGCGACGTTCATCCAGTGGCGCAGTTTGTTTATCTGTCAAGATTCACATGAGAGGAGATTCATAAACGTTACAATGCTAGATACGCGCAAGAGATACAGAAGTAATTTCGGAAACTACATATATACCGTTCGTAAGTCATCCATCGTGATCTCGACGTCAAATATGTTTTGCAGGTCATGCTCCGGATATAAGCTCAGTCCTGTGGCATGATCGTATCCTAATCCGCATTGAGCACCGGTGTAACGGACGCCCAAAGGATCGCGTCTCAATTCCATATACGGTGTGAAAATTAAAATGATCAAGGACGCAAAGCCGGGTGTGTCGGGCAGGAGGGTTGTGTTTCGCAGGGTCAGACGATCCGTTCCCTTTGTTTGTTGGTGGATGTTTTGCGCCACCAGGAAGATCCCCCTTGGATTATCCGGACAGGTGTCGAGCAGGACGGAATTCACCGATACCTGTTCGACGTTTACATGTTTCAGTATACCCGCCGTCGTCAAATGCACCAGCTGAACTTCTAGTGGCGAAAACGGGCCGTGCAGCACCACCTTCTGACCGGACTTAACCGGTAATTCGGGATACGGCTTTTTATTGTATATCTTTATCACGCGATTCCGCGATTCTGTGTCGCAATCCAGCGATTCTGTCAAGCTCGAAACAGGTGCGTCCTCAAACACATTCGTAAGCTCAAGCTCCTTCGCCCGATGCAAAGCCTCCTTCTCGTTCATTAAATCTATCTGAATAGGCTTACGATTGTGCCTCATTTTGATGGCATTTTGTACGAAGCTATAATCGTTCGGCGAGAGGTCGCTTTTGTCGTATTCGATATAAACGCGGGACGATCCGTCAAATGAAACTGTTATGTCGTCGAGGTTCTTCAGCTCCATGCTATGCGCGAAAATCTCCTGAAATTTTCTAGCGTACAATGCTCCAGGCTGCTTCAACGGCCATCCATGAAGGACGACGGTATTATTGAGATCGCGTTTGGACAGCGTTTTTTCCATACCTTTTCGGCGTTGTGCTATGTCACTGGAAAGTTTAATGAAGTAGTTAGGATAGAAAGCGCCGGCGATTACGACTTTAAGGATGATGACGCGTAGCTCATTAACGTCGTAGCTCTGCCATGTGCGTTTCTCTTGGTTCATGTATTCCTGTATGCCGAAATGACGTAATTTCAACGTGATGTCGGACACGAGGGCATTGATCTCGCGCAATGACCTCACGCGCAGACCATTTCGTCGCGCCCATTCTTTTTCTTGTTGAGAGTTGTTTATGCGGCGATTAGCCTTGTCGTCCCTCCATATCTTGAATGCATGCAGATAAGCTATGCAATCACTGGCGGTATTAGCAGCCCACTCGAGCTTCTCGTAATAGGCCGTGTTCCACTCGGTATCGAACCCGATATTGAACATGTTCTTCACCGACATACTGGCTGCGATGATGATTGTATCCTGCAAGACATCGAAAATATGACCCAGAACGATCAACTTTGTCAAATGTACATCCAACGGAAGAGAGGCCATCACACGGCCCAGAGGTGTCAGATCTCCATCGTACGCTGAGTCGAACGTATTCATCAATGCACCGATTTCTTTCAATAGTAATATAGTGCTCCGTAAACTGCTGAGGTTCGGCGGATCCAGAGCGAGGGCGAGGAGTGCCTTTGGGTCGCCCATGTCCAACATTTTGGTCTTAAGGACGACATTCGCGAGTGGAGCCCTAACCATTTCTGGAACGCTTTCGTCGCGTAGCGCGCTCTGCAATTTTCAGAACAATATCATATTTGGTTAAATTTTATTTGATATAAATTAATTTAATTAAATTTAATTTATATTAAATTATATTTAATATGAATTAATTTCACTAAAAAATTTTAATTTTATCAACTAATAATCTATAAATTATCATTTATAGATTATTTTGGCAAGTATTTAAAAAGTATTTTGTTTTATAACTAGAGAGTATCATTTCCAACGATCTTATGCTGCAATTCTAAACAAATATACGAGTAAATCGTAAAATCATAAAGTCGTACGAAAAAAACAAAAAAAAATCGTAGATATTTATGAATTATCACATGACATATGGTCCGCATAGAATTGCAGATCTACTCATAAGTTCTTACGAAAACAAGTTACGAGTTTTACGATTTTGTCTAGAATTGCAGTATTAGTCTTTTTTTGTTTTATATAATATTATGTAATTGTAATTTACTTCACAATTTTTTATTTGATCGTAAGTTTTATAAGCTACGATATTTTTGCATTGAAATATTTGCATAAAAACGATACTTACCTCGTAAAATGATCTTGGTATCATTCGAAATACTCTGCCATCCATTACACGGCCTGCACGACCAGCACGCTGCTGACAATTTGACTTGCTTGCCCAACACAGCTCTAGAGACTGGTAATTGGACCCAGGCTGAGTGATGAGGTTCTTTACCATACAGAAGTCGATCACTACATAGAAAAATGAAAATCAAGCGTTTTTGTTCCGTCAATAGTTGTTCTACGGACAAACAAGTGCTTACCATACTTGACGTCAGGTACGGTGACGCTACTCTCGGCGATATTAGTAGATAATATTATACGCCGATAATCGTTTCGCGGTTTCTTAAATATATTCTCTTGCTCGTCAGTCGAGATTAGCGAGTGTAATATAATTATATCCCACTTCATGTTCTCGTATTTCTTTGATAAGAGCGCGATACGAATGTCTTCAATCTCCTGAATTCCTGGCAAAAATATTAGCACAGCGAGCCTTTTGTGTTCGTTATCCTTGACTTTGTTTTTCTCGTCTATATGATCGAAAATGTGTATGATGCGTATGCAATATTCTATCATATCGGACGTAAGGCTTGGTTCGTCCTCGGATATTACAGGTGGCTGTCCGGGAAAACAATCATCATTATTATCATCATTATCGATAACTTTCCATCGTTTTCTAAATAATAGAAACAAGAAAAGAGAAGACTGGTAAATCGATTGTCAATAATATTTCTATATATTGAATAGTAATATCAACCTATAAAAAACGGCAAATTATTCATACATCAATACTGATAATACGACATGAAGATGAATATCAGTGATCTTCAATTTAATAAGAAAAATTCCGTCACGACGCGCAACGTTCTCTTTTTCTTTTGTCTCGAGATCAGAGGCCTTCTTCTTTTAACGCCAATTTCGTTATCATTAAACTTCGTTAAATAGCGCAGCTATTTTGCGATGTAAAATATTTGCGCGTCGACATATAACGCATGCGTTATCTCATAACGCACGCGTTAACAAGTTACAGAATATGCTTGCAGAAAGCCACCTTGCTGTTCTTGTTCCTGAGCATCTGAGCGTTTACTCGCGCTTGGAAAATATATACTCACAGGGCCCACATTCATTTCGTCCAAATAATGTGTGGTAACGTTGTACGGGCTTCCCCCCGGCACGTCGATGACCGTTGCTGGTAACAGTTTGTCTTCCATGGGTGTGGAAAAATATTCAGCAAACTTATCTACATCGATGGTCGCAGACATCAATATAACTTTGACCATTGTAGAATTTGTACGCAACAGTTTTCTAATCACGAGCAGAAGGAAGTCCATGTCTTCGTCGCGTTCATGTACTTCGTCCAGTATAACGTGTGTATAGTCCATCATGTGCTTCTTGTTAATGAGCTTGTGCAGAAGCACACCAGTTGTACAGTAAGTTATACGTGTGTCTGAGCACACGTTCTTGATCAGACCCATTTGGTAGCCTACAATAGTACCGACAGGCCAGTCTCTTTCTTGGCTGATTCGTTTTGCAATGCTCAGAGCAGCAATACGTCTCGGCTGTGTAACTGCAAAACAGTTTGTCTCTCTTAAATGAAAAGAAAACAATTTCTAGAAAAACTTCAATATCAATAATTTTCCATGATTTCTGCCAGGTGTATTTAGAAAATGTAGCTAAGTTGTGACATACCTATAATGTTGCACTCTTTTTGGTTCTCAAACTCTGAATCTAGAATAAATTGTGGCACTTGTGTTGTCTTGCCACAACCAGTAGCACCACGTATAATAATGACAGGATTATTAGCTATCATAGATATGATCTTGTCTCTAATAGAGAGAATGGATAAATCAATCTTGGGTCGATAGGCAAAGTTGTATGTTTGATAAATTCTACTTTGGTTTTTATCATAGAATTGTTTTTCAGATGTTGTGATATCTGACATATCGTCCATGTGGTCTTTCTTATTGAAGATAATATTCTTTGTTGACTATAGAAAAAAATGAAAAAAAAATTAGAAGAAATTAATTGTGAAGTCTGCATTTGGTAATATTATTGCAAATGCATATAGCACTAAATGTATGTATTACCATTAAATATTCTTCATCATCCTTTTTTTTATATTCTTCTGCGTAATCTGTCTCCGATATTACTCTTGATTTAAATCTATTAAATTTCGGTTCACCGGCTACTTGTCTTCGATCTGAACATGGCATTGATATTTTCAAAACTTCGCCTGAATTAAGCATACGCAGAATATCGTCTACCATTTCGGCCATCGTGACAATTGATAGATACTTAATACATATATATATATATATATATATATATATATATATATATATATATATGTTCCTAATTATATTAGCCACTTTATATTATAACACTTTATATTATAACACAAGTTTAGTCAGATCATGAACTTTATGGCGCGAATAACTACGATACACACACACACTCTCTCTCTCTCTCTCTCTACATCCTTTACTCCCCCCCCCCCC